GCAGCCAGAGCTGACCAGACCCCCGCCCAGACACATGTACAGGTCTCCATAATAGGGGCGAGCTGGTCCAGTGAGGCCGCACGAGCTGCTCCTGGGGCCTGGGCGAACCCCCAGGCATGAGGGGCTCGCGCAGATCCAAAAACTTGGCAGGTCGACCCGACGAACGAGCCAGTTCCGACTTGGCCATGCTAACCGTATGCCGAACAGCGCTTTAGCCAAAGCGCTGCAAACACGTGGCCGAGGATGGTTGGGACTGGCGACAGCCTGGGAGATCCACGCAAGGCGAGCCAAGAAACGAGTACTGGAAGACGGCGCAGGCAGAGGCGGCCGAGCGGAACCCCACTGCGACCCAGTATTGCCGGTGCCGCCTCCAGCGTCCTGCCCGGTGTTTTCGAATTTACGTGAAGGACAACGCGGGTAGGAGGAACAACATCGAAAGCCCCTGCCTTTAGACACTCTTGGCTGGGGCCTGGGATGCCCGAGAATCCGGAGCCCGAATCCTTGTTCAAGATATTTCGCAACGGCGAGCATGCCGCAGGCTCAGGGCTCACTAGGGGCTGGCTCGTGCAGGAGCCAGCAGGCGAGGAAGAGGGCCGCGCGGGAGTGGCAGGACCGCGCACGGCGGCCCCGTCCAGCAACTCGGGACCCGTGCAGCACAACTTGGCCTCCTGCGTGAGGCGGCACCCGCGCGCGAGTGCCCCCCCCTCGGGCCGCCCTCGGCGGGGGGTGCAGCCTGCAACGCGCGGCGGGCAGTGTGCGCGTGCGTCGCCACGACCCGCGGCGGGGGAGCAGGCGGAGGCCCCTGAGCGCCCACCGCCGCACCCGCGGCCCCTGAAGGCGCCGTTGCACCACTCGGCCCCGATGCCAGGGCTGGACCTGAGCTGAACGGTGATTTCGTTCCGTTTTGCATCCAGGGCGAAGCGGAGGTGAGGCGAGGGAGAGCGAGCCACAAGACGGAAACGAAGAGCACAGTCTAGGTTCAGCGCTGCCCGATGCATTGGCACCAGCTGCGCCAGCCGAGGGCCCCCCATCCCCGTCGCCAGCGGCAGGCACAGGAGGAGGCGCCCTCCCCCGGCCGCAGGCTCCACACTTTTTGGTCAGGAGCCGCACGGCGTTCTTTTGGCTGCCGGGCGCTCGAGCTGCTCGGCCTGGGCCTCACGGAAGGCCTTTTGGACTTCGCAGCTGCTTCCCCGAAAAGTTTGTCTACCGGAGCTTGGATTCAGGAGGGAAAAAACACACACAGACACAATTAAACGTCGAATCCCCAGAAAATATTGGAAAATATGGGGAGCGGGGGGGAAGACAAAAACCTAAAAAATATGGGGAAATATGGTGAATCCTGTTACTTGTGTCTATCTCTTTGTGTGTCCCAGGGCCCCTTCATGGATACCTTCTTGAGTCGGGGCTCAGGAGACGGGGGGGTCGATGCGAACGGGGGACCGTCAGAGCGCCGGATCCTGCAGGATCCTGCAGGGCCAGGGGCGCCTCGAGCCGGGTTGGGGTGCAGGATCCTGCAGGAGCTGCAGCATTCTGCGAGGCTTAAGTTGGGCCTGTCCCTCTACAGGAGGAATATTCAGAAATAGTAAAGAAATAGCCTGGGGACGTGTTTTTTTTTGAATTCTTGGAGTGTTTTTGGGGTATTTTTGATTGTTTGTCAAAAATTCCCCTGTCGGGGGACAGGCCCGACCTAATGCAAGGCCTGACTGACCCAGGGTTGCATTGACCCAGGTCAGTAGACCGCCGATTGAAGCTGGTCCAACCGCTTCTTTGCCTCTTCCTGGCCCTCAGCTGAGAGTTCGTACTCCGGCTCGACGGCGAGCAGACTCTCCAAGCAAATGGGCAACCATTCACCGTTGAGCAAGTCATCGATGCTGAGGGTCAGAGGGGGCGCAGGAGCATGTTTGATTCCCGCAGAATTGTGAAGCTGCTGCAAGAGAGACTTGTGCTTCTCTTCGGCAGCCGCCAGCTCCTTGGCAAGACTTGCCACTCGCTCTCGTTGTTATCGAACATCGGCCTCCATGCGCTCGAAGACCGTGAGGCTCTTCCCGAGCTTGGTCTCCAAGGTGCGCATCTCGTTGAAGGCTCGATTGATCTGATGCTCCAGCGGGGCGTGGGCCTTTGACTCGGCAGCCTGACGCTTCAGACGGGAATCGAGCTCCTTTTGACACTTCACGGCGGCCTCAGGGTCTCCCATCTGTCGGAGTGTGGCGACGCGCCCGCGCGCGTGGTCCACGTCGCTTGATGCCACTGCCGCAGCGGGCTGGGGGCACCCCCGCCCATGAACAGAGGACCAGGCCGGTGAGGAAGATGATTGGGCAGGGATGCACAGGGCGCAGCAGTCCAGGTGCCCGGCGGCGCGGGGCAAGACGCTCCCTCGCTCCAGACACCTCGGGGCGGCGGCGGGGTGTGGCCCAGTGGAGGCGCGTAAACCTCCATGCCCAGTAATGTTTGCACCGCATCCAGCCCTGCTTCTTCTTCCTCTTCTTGCAGCCGCGTGAACTGCAAGTCGAAGTAGAGCGAAGGCTGGCATCGTCCAATCTGAACTCTTGGGCCCGACACGTCCTCCTCCTCCTCCTCCCTCCTCCCTCCTCCTCCTCCTCCTCCTCCTCCTCCTCCTCCTCCTCCTCCTCCTCCTCCTCCCCCTCCTCCCCTCTCCCCTCCAAACCCGAGCCTCTCATTGAGCTCTGGGGGCTTCCCCCGGCGCGCCACGGCCGATCCTCGCCCCGCCGCCGGGTGCGAGCGGGCGAGGCGACGGGCGTCCTGGCGGCACCGCGGGGTGCGGGCGAGGAGGCGGCCCGACGGACGTGTGGCTCACGGAGTCGCGCGCCCTTCTGCGGAAGGTCCCTGCAGCGCTGCTCGAGCGCAGAAGGGCTCGAACGAGGAGGAGGAGGAGAAGCAGAAGGAGTTGGAGTAGGAGCAGGATGATGATGATGATGATGATGATGATGATGATGATGATGATGATGATGATGATGATGATGATGATGATGATGATGATGATGATGATGCTGATGCTGATGCTGATGCTGATGCTGATGCTGATTATGGTGCTGCTGCTGCTGCTGATGATGATGATGATTCTGCTGATACTGATGATGCTAGTGACGCTGATGATGATGAGGATGAGGATGATGATGCTGCTGATCATGATGATGATAATGAGGATGATGCTATCTGATGATGCTGATGCTGATAATGAGCTGATGCTGATGCTGATGATGCTGATCATGATGATGAAGAAGATGCTCATGCTGATAACGAGGATGCTGATGCTGATGGTTCTGATAATGATGAGGATGATGAGGATGCTGATGATGCTGATGATGATGATTATGTTGATGATGATGGCGATGCCCATTATGCCCGTGACGCTGATGACGATTATAATGATGACGATGCTGATGATGCTGACAATGATGGTGGTGATGATGATGACGCTGATGATGATGCTGCTGATGATGATGCCGATGATGAGGATGCGGACGAGGATGAGGATGAGGATGCTGATGATGATGATGATGATGATGAGGGTGATGATACCTTATGCTGATGATGACGATGAGGATGTTGATGGTGATGATGATAATGATGATGAGAATGAGGATGAGGATGATGATGATGATGATGATGATGATGATGATGCTGATGCCGCTGATGATGATGATGATGATGATGATGATGACGATGACGATGATGCCCGTGACGCTGATGATGATGATGAAGCTGATGGTGATGCTGATGATGATGAGTATCAGGCTGATGGGGACGATGTGGAGGTTGACGATTCTGATGCTGATGATGCTGATGATGCTGATGATGCTACTGCTGCTGATGATGCTGATGCTGTTGCTGATGCTGATGATTATGATGATGATGATGCTTATGCTGATGATGATGCTGATGATGATGCTGATGATGATGATGCTGATGCTTATGATGATCATGATGATGCTGATGCTGTTGCTGCTGCTGATGATGCTACTGATGCTGCTGATGATGCTGATGATGCTGATGATGCTGATGATGATGATGACGATGATGATGACGATACTGATGAGGATGATGGTGGTTGTGCTCATGCTGACTATGATGCTGACGATTATTATGATGGTGGCGAGGATGAGTCTGATTATGGTGACGACGATGATGCTGCTCATGCTGATGCTGGTGATGATGCTGATAACCATGATGATGATGAGGAGGAGGAGGAGGATGCAGGTGATGCTGATTATGCTGATGATGACGGTGATTGTGGTGGTGGTGGGGGTGATGATGATGACGATGCTGATGATGATGATGATGATGATGATGATGATGATAATGGTGATGATGAAGATGATGATGATGATGATGATGATGATGATGATGAGGATGATGATGATGATGATGATGATGATGATGATGATGATGATGCGGATGATGATGATGATGATGATGATGATGATGATGCTGATGTTGCTGCTGATGATGATGCTGATGATGCTGATGCTGATGCTGATGATGGTGATGCTGTATCTGATGATGCTGGTGAGGATGATGCTGATGCTGATGCGGATGCTGAGTGATGATGCTGCTGATGCTGATGCTGATGCTGATGCTGCTGCTGCTGATGATGCTGATGCTGATGATGCTGATGCTGATGATGTTGATGCGGATTATTGTTATTCTTATTTTTATTATTATTATTCTTGTTCTTATTATTATTATTATTAGTATAATTATCTTAATTATATTTTTAGTATTGGTATCATTATTCGTATTAGAACATTGTCATTTTAATCATTATCATTATCATTATCATTGTCACCACCATTATTATTATCATCACTACTACTACTATTCGTATCAGTCTTATTTCCCATAGTATCATAAGAACATTAAGCTATCAATATCATTTTGATTAGTATTAGGGTTCACAACATTTATATTACTAGTATGATGTAGAGGGAGGAGGAGAAGGAGGAGGAGGAGGATCAGGAACGCAATACGCACCCTCGCAGGATGTGCTCAACGTCATGCAGCTCCTGCAGGTGCAGGGCAGCATCGTCGGCGGCGTGCGCAAGAGAGGCGGCGGCGCCCTCCGTGCCCCGGGGGGGCGGCGGGCGGAGGGCCCCTGGCTGGAGGGGGCCGTTGAGACGTTGAGACAGCGGCTGAGGGACTCAAGTGCCATGTGGGACTCTCCAGAGATAAGGAGGAGGAGGAGGAGGAGGGAGGAGGAGGAGGAGGAGGAGGAGGAGGAGGAGGAGAGGGGGAGGGGGAGGGGGAGGAGGGGAGGAGGAGGAGGAGGAGGAGGAGGAGGAGGAGGAGGAGGAGGAGGAGGAGGAGGGAGGAGGAGGAGGAGGAGGAGGAGGAGGAGGAGGAGGAGGAGGAGGAGGAGGGGAAAGGGGGAAGGGGGGAAGGGGAAGGGGGAAGGGGGGGGGAAGGGGGAAGAGGGGGAAGGGGGAAGGGGGAAGGGGGAAGGGGGAAGGGGGAAGGGGGAAGGGGGAAGGGGGAAGGGGGAAGGGGGAAGGGGGAAGGGGGGGGGAAGGGGGAAGGGGGGGGGAAGGGGGGGGGGAGGGGGGGGGGGGAAGGGGGAATGGGGGAAAAGGGGGAAGGGGGAAGGGGGAAGGGGGGGGGGGGGAAGGGGGAAGGGGGAAGGGGGGAAGGGGGAAGGGGGAAGGGGGGGGGGAAGGGGGAAGGGGAAGGGGGAAGGGGGAAGGGGGAAGGGGGAAGGGGAAGGGGGAGGGAGGGAGGGAGGGAGGGAGGGAGGGAGGAGGGAGGGAGGAGGGAGGAGGGAGGAGGGGGGAGGAGGGAGGAGGAGGAGGAGGAGGAGGAGGGGAGGCGGAGGCGGAGGCGGAGGCGGAGGCGGAGGCGGAGGCGGAGGCGGAGGCGGAGGAGGAGGAGGAGGAGGAGGAGGAGGAGGCGGAGGCGGAGGCGGAGGCGGAGGCGGAGGCGGAGGCGGAGGCGGCGGAGGAGGAGGAGGAGGAGGAGGAGGAGGAGGAGGAGGAGGGCGCCCTCGAGGGCGCGAAACGATTCGCGCTTCGCTCTTCGCGCTTCGCGGTTCGGCTCCGATTCCTCTTCCTCCTCTTCCTCTCCCCTCGGGGGCGGCGGTGCCACAGCGCGAGGCTAGTCGCGCGCGGCGCGAGGCGCGAAGTTGGGCCCTCTCGAGAAAGGGCCTCGTCTTCGAGGGTCGAAAGAGTTGCCATCTCTTCCAAGGCGGAGGGCGGCGGAAGGGCGGCGGAGGGCGGCGGAGGCAACACGAGGCCGCCTCCCGGAGGCTGGCGGAGGCTGGGTGAAGCCCGCGGATGCAGCGGAAGCCAGCGCAAGCAGCGCCCCCAAGAGGTGGCAACATTTCTGGGTCCAGGGTTTCGGGAGCCCGCCATGTGGAGCCAACCGGACTGCGGAACCGCTCGCAAGAGGTTGGGGTGTGGGAGGACGGCGACCACGACGGCCGAGGGTGGCGACGAGGGCGAGGGGGCGTGGCGTCGAGCACGGTCATTGAGGCGACTGCGCAGGAAACACTCATGGCCACTGTGGCGACCCAGCCCAGCGGCGGCAGATGGGATGTGCGCACTTTTTTCCCTGCGCGGATCTCATTTGCGCTAGAACTCCTGCCCAGTCCCCCTCGGCGATTCGAAGCGAAGTAGTCGCGCTGGGGTATTTTCTCTGGTCGAAGAAAGCAGCGCGATAAGCAGAAACTTTCGGCGCTCTGTGCGGATTTCTTGGATCGGAGCTGGGACCCCCTGGCGGCGCCTTCGGCGCCGCCCCTGGCGCGCTCAGCGCGCCAGGGAGGGGGCCCAGTGCCCATCCAAACAGTCCGCGTGGAACTCCGAAAGTTTATGCGTCCGCAGTTTTTTGTTCCTCTATTGATGGCCGCCGACTGTTTTCTGGGCCTCGGCGCCGTCGCGAGACGACTTCGAGGGCCGCGTGGGCTGCTCGAGGCGGCCGAGTGCGTGGGAAGGGATGCCGCTCCAGAGGCGGTCCCAGTTTTCGGAGCCCGCTGGAGGTCGAGGCCGCGGTGCCTCCCACGCTTCCAGGGTCAGGGGCGCATGGTACTGGACCGTCGGAGGCCCTCCCTGTGCAGTTCAGGTTCTTTTGGGCTTTCCGTGCTGAGGGCTTCCGGGCTTTGGACTTCCCTCGGGTCCCATGCGGCTTCAGACCTCGGGGCGGCCCGCTCTTCCCCCCCCGTGCGTATCCCGCCCCTCCCTGCTCGCTCCCCCTTGCCCTGCGCGCGTAAATTTCGCGAGGAAGTTCGCGCCAGTCGCTGTTTTTGAGGTCCACCAGTATCCTAGGACCCATCCGTGGGATCGAGGTGTGGTTCACGAGTGGGCGCCTACAGCCAGAACTGCTGGTAAGGATGCGCGATCAGGATGCGAGCCCCTTGGACGCCCGTGCTGAGGTTTTTCGAGCGCGGCGGGCCATCGAAAGTGGTCAGGGATGGACCAGGAAGGCGCGGATGCAAGGGTGCCCTTGGGAAGCTTACCTGCCCTTACCATCGGTTTCGGCTGTAGCTGCGTTTCCCCTCCCCTGTGACAAGGGAGGGCGGGCGGAGGTGCCGAGGGCGCTCGGGCTGTGGGAGGGGAGCTCGAGCAGGTCTCGCGACCTCGGCCGCCGTGCCCTCGAGCGTGGCGACAACGACACCGCCGAGGAGTGCGAGTCTGAAGCCGAGCTTGGTTGATTGGGGCCTGACTCAGGCGATCGCAAACATGGATTGAGCGTGCGTGGATTAGCGACGGGTCCCGTTTCCATGGGAAGTCGAGCATTTTCGCCGCTGAGCGAGGCACCGCCAGCCGCATTTTGGGGACCGTGCGCCAAATCCATGGATCGCTAATCCATGTTTGCGCGCCCCCGACTGACCCCGCGTTTAGCGCAAGTCCATACCGTACCATGCCCCGCTGCCGCCCAACACCCCTGTGCCCGCATCCGATCCCGCCGCCCCCCCTCTCCTCCTCCTCCTCCTCCTCCTCCTCCTCCTCCTCCTCCTCCTCCTCCTCCTCCTCCTCCTCCTCCTCCTCCTCCCTCTGACCCGCCGCGGGGGTCGGCCCCGCCGCGCAGGCATCAGCGGCGGCCAGCGGAAGAGGGTCAACGTCGGCCTCGAGCTGGCCTCGCAGCCGACGGCGGGGCGGGCGTCCGCCCGGCCTGCTGCCGTGCGCGCGCGCGCTCCTGCTGCTTTCGCCATTTCGGGATGATTGGCAGGTTTTCCACCACCACCACCATACGTTGGAGGGGGAGGGGGTCCTCCTCCTCCTCCTCCTCCTTCCCCCCCCCATCCGACTTATGGTTGTGGTGGTGGAAAACAGGCCCAGCAGGAGAAGCGGGCCCCGAGGGAGACAGGCCCTGCTGTTTTTCGCCGCTTTCGGGCCCTCGGGGCCCCGGGACTGGCAGGAAAACGGCTTAGGATAGGAAGAGCTCGTCCCGGGGGAAGGCCCCTTTCCCTCAGGGCCCGTTTCCCTCAGGGCCCGTTTCCCCGTTTCCCCCTATGCTAGTGCTTCCCCATTTCATTCGCGCGTCTGCGCATTCCTCGAGGGGCAGAACGCTGCTGGGAGGGGCGGGCGCCCGAGGTGTGTGCAGAGGAAGCGGCCCCGCGGGGGAGCACGCTCTCCGTGGGGCTTCCACCAGGGTCAACGGCAGGAAAGGGGGAGGAGGGCAAGGGGGGGAGGGAGGGCTCCCCCCCCCCTGGAGCGCTGGCGGGCCCCCCGTGGGGCGTTGGTGGAGGCCCCAGTGGGGCGTTGGCGGGGCTCCCCTGAGCTTGGGCATCCTCCTCCTCCTTCTCCTTCTCCTCCTCCTAAACCAACCGCCTATCTGCGTCAAGGTCAGGTGCAGTCAGAGCCAGAAGAGTGAGCTCTGATGAGGTGGAGCGCGGCGGCCGGGTCGACCGCGACCTCCTGAATTTCGCCTCCTCGCCGCCTCCTCCTCCTCCTCTTCCCGATCCCGAGGGCTGGCTGTGCTAAGTACTGTAGGTTCGCGTCGTGTCGACTGGCGGCGACCCCGCCGCTGGCTTTTAACGTTGAAAGCCGCCGGCGACCCAGAATCGGTCGATGTTGAATAGCAAGCTGACTTTTCTGAAACGGCCGCTGATTCAAGGTCGAGCGATTCTCGCGGTGTCAGGAACCAATGCCGAAGTCGGCACGACACGAGCCTGCCGTAGGTGCCAGGTGTGTGGTGCCCAGGTGTTGGCCCCAGCTCCAATTTTTCATTGTTGGGATGCTCGACGTGTCATCCGAATATCCTCCTCTTCTCATGATCATTCAGGAGGCTTACGCCATTCCGCCGACCTCCAGACGAAGTGAGGAGCCCCTGGAATCTGCTCGGGCGAGGTAGTTGTTGTTGGATTGCTCGACTTGTCCTCCGACTGCTTACTTGGTAACGCTGCCATTAGTAGCCAGTCTCCCCCAGGGGCGTAGGCGAAGGCCGGGCGAGCTTACTACTTTGGTGTCGGGGTTCGGTTTGGCGGCATTTTCGCGCCTGTTGCGTGGGTTGCTCTCCCGTTGGGTTCTGCGCGGCGCGGTTGCGTTTTCGGGGGGTAGTGGGGTTTGTCGTTTTCCGAAGTTCACCCGTTTGGGTACCAATGCGCGGTCTTGGCCTATTGCGGTCCACCCAGCTGGGCATCGAGGTTCACCCATGTAGGTTGGGAGGCTTACCCATCTAGATATTGGGGTGAAAAGTCACCAATGCAGGTGTGAGGTTCACCCACTCAACTAGGTACTGACGCTCATCCATGTCGGTACTGAGGTTCACCCACGCAGTTGTCGAGGCTCGCCCATGTAGGTTGTGATGCTCGCCCAACATAGCCCGTGAGGATCACCACGTAGATACTGGTGTCCACCCTTGTAGGAGTGAGGATCACCCGCCTACCTTTTGAAGCTCACCCATACAAGTATTGTGGTTGGCCCATGTGGCGTTTGAGGTGAACCCGTGTAGGCCTCGAGGCTCACCCATGCGGGAACTGAGGCTCACTCGTGTATCTATTCAGATTTGCCCACGCCGAGCTGCAGGCTCTCCCGTGCCTGCCTCAGGCACA